ACAGCGAGGAAAGTGAAACGTAGAGAAAAGAAAGCCGGAGAAAAAAAAGACACGGCCTGCGATGCACGATTTGCTGTGAAAATCCATTCCCCCCACCAGTGTTAGTGGTGCTGATAAGAGCAGACACCACTAGCACCTCGGGAGAGGCTCCATCTATTGGTGGGGAGCATCACCTGCTTGTTGGAAAGCGGGTCCAGCGTCCCTAATACAGCGAGGAAAGTGAAACGTAGAGGAAAAACAGCCAGACAAAAAGACAGCCTGCGACGATTGACGCGTCAAGCGCTCAAGTGCCAGTTTCGTACTTCTTTAATATCAGGAAGTGGTTGTCTTGTCCTTCTGGACATTCATTAAAATTGGAACGATACAGAGAAAGAAGATTAATTAGCATGGCCCCTGCGCAAGTAAGAATGACACACATAAATCGAGAAATGTTAAAAAAAAGAAAAAAGAAGGGAACTGATTGTCTTGCTCAGGAACGTCGCTAGAACCTTCTCTGCGTTCTCGCACACAAACTGCAATCCACGAATTATCCATCACACACTTCTCACAACACTACGCATCTGGCATCTGCGTCGGTATACATGCGGAGAACAACAGCTACGTCCCCAACCTTGAGCCCTTCAAACACCACCCGATAATGGATCGTTCAGTCAGAGTGAGTTTCGCCGACTCTTCAGGCGGCGGAAGTAGAAGATACCGCTTCCAATGCTTCAACCGATGACCAACTCCATGGCCTCTCTCTCTCTTTTTTTTTCATCCACTCCATGCCCTCTTCTCCCGGCCGTGCAGTGATATAATCCCCACAAAGTGTGCGCACGCTCATTACATATCCAACCTTTCACAGTCCGGATTCTTTGCCGTATTGACCCCGACACCATGCAATTTCCTGCTGAATGTCACAAACCCCCTCTAGCCTCCCTATCACTCTAAAATTCTAAATCCTCCGACGATCCACTCCATGCCCTCCCTCTCTGAAAGGCAGAAATCGGATGCAATTGGAGGGGAGTATACATGCTAGTACACGGAGGTTTCGAGAGGCACCCCTCTGAGAACGGCAAGCTGCTGAAAGGGTTGGCAAAGAAATGGGAAGGCTGGCAGCGGTGCACAAGAGCTGTCCAAATTTGCAAAACTGGCACAAGTGGGGGGAGGGGGGGGGGGGGGGGGGGG